CACGGTGGACACAGATGCCGACGCGCCGCAGAGCGTCAAAGAGGAGTTGCGCAAAAGGCAATTGCAAGCGAAGCCAAGCAAGACGACCGTCTTGACCAACAGCTCGGGAGAGAGTAAGCCCAGTCAAACGTCGCAAGACAGTTCGGGCCGTTTGGCGCCTAGCTCTGGCACTGGAACTGGCAGCGGTTCTGGGTCTGGAAACGGCGGCGGCTCTGGGTCTGGATCTCAAGCCAGCGCATCCGTACTGTCCAGCAATCCACAAAGGACAGGCGTGGGAGAATGGGGTGGATGGAATAGCAGCGAATTGCCCCTGCGAGGTCGCGTCATGATGAGAGGCAGCTCTTCAGGCGGAGCGCCTGCTTCGGGATCGCATCCTGGCCGACTCGCGGACAGTGCACGAAAAGCCGATCACCGGCTCTCTCTCGGCGCTGGTGGGTCTAGGCCAGGTGATGCACCAGTGACGGCCGAAGCCATACGCAGCGCTTCGGATGCCATGAGCGCAAAGACGAGATTGACCGACGGTTCAAAGAACACGAACAGCTCGGTCGAGACCAATGCCGCCAAGTCTGTCGCTTCCGATCATAGTGCGAGTACCAGCGAGTTGGGATCCGCATCGCGGCGCCAAGCTATTCGCAACAAGAACCGCTATTCAAGCGACACGTTTGGAGAACATTTGCGATCCTGAGTGTTGTCTTTGACGGCGCGCTTGCAGCCCTTTCCTCTTTCAACCTCGATATGATTCGGTGCGCATTGACTCTCGGCCCATAACACCACACTCCACTCTTTACATTTCCCCACACTCCGTCACTCTGACTGCCAACCTGGGCCTGTTGTTTTGCCCCGTGGGCACGTTTTCCATCTTTCTCAATGTCAGCATGCCTTCGACCACTTTTCCAAAGACGACGTGCTTGCCATCCAAAAAGTCTGCTGGTTGACAAGTGATGAAGAATTGGCAGCCGTTCGAATTCGGCCCGCTATTGGCCTGCGTGTGTTGGCGATGTGTGCAATGTCAGCTGGCAAGGCTCGACACGCGCCATGCCAGCATCACGCTCGAGGCGGGCACATGACCCGGACACGCCGCTCACCATGCTGAGTAATCCAGGGGCATCGTGTTTCGCAGCAAAGTTCTCATCCTCGAATTTGTCCCCGTAGATGGAATAAGATCCTGTTCCATCGCCATTCAAAAAGTCGCCCTGAGAGCAAGTCACGAGAGGGGAAAAAGTGCGGCGTCAGCATATGTGAAGGCCAAAGCCAGACACGAGCGACTTACTCCTTGCACCATGAAATCTCGGATCACTCGGTGGAAAACGGCCCCCTTGTAACCTTGAGGCGAGTGGTTGATCCTCTGTTCGCCTGTGCACAGTTGTCGAAAGTTTTCCGCCGTCCTACAATCGCCGAACAGTGGGTGATGAGCTTGCGTCAGAGGGGTGGCCAGCTGCCGATAGAGATAGCGGGGGGTAGCGGGGGATAGCGCGGCGCGCGCAATGACAGCCAGCAGACGCAGACAGACTCCGCAGCTCGGGGCCGCATACAGGCACAGCAAGGCAAGCAACAAGTGTGAGGGTGTCAGGCCATCACCTGCGATGCATCACACCTTGCCTCCATGTATGCGCTCTGATCAGCACTTCGACAAGAGTCTGCTCTTCCCCCGCACGACACGCGACAAGTGGCTGCAGCTGCAAAGCACTCACTTGGGCACCACATCGCTGAAGAGCTCGAATTTGATCCTCCCAGCTGGTTGATCACCAATAGTGACATCCATAAAGACGACGGGTCTGCCTTTTGTTCCTGCTCCCGCTATCCTGCCATTGTTGGTGCTGTTGGACATCCTCGCAGGTGTGACTCGAACGGTGAAGGAGCGTGGATGAGGTGCGCATCGAGGTGGATGGTGGTGGGATCGAAAGGGAAAGATTCACGATTGGCGGGCGCTCGAATCGCGTGCCTCGCTGGGTGATCTGCGAAATGACTGGCACGTGACCGGCGGCGTGGTGTGGAGGTCGATCGCGCGCGCGAGGGGCCTGGAGTCGCCGCCCCACTCCCTCGCACCACACCGTCATGGGTCAGCTCCACGAACGACACAAGTCTTTGAGCATCCATCTCTCGCACCACGAACACAGGCAGACCAGCAACGGCGAACGCCCCCAACATGGCGCAATCGACCTCGCCTTTGCCTCCTTCAACTCACATCCGCCCCGAGACGGAGGGCCGCGAGTCACTCGTGCAGTACATCCTCTCGCCCTCCTTGTTGCATTCGAGCAATGCTCTGCCAAGTAATCGCGGCAGATCGTTTCTGGTTCATTCGCTGGCCTATCACTTGGATCTGCTAGATCTGCCCAGCGTTGCAGAGCTGAGTCGCGAAAGATCCGTCTCGTCTGCGGATGATGTGGGTGGGGAGGGAGTTGGGGCGCAGGACGAGGATGAGGAGACCAACCTCGCAAGATGTCTCGCTGGCGATCTCCAGGCTGCCGCTTATATGGACGACGCATCATCCAGCAACTTTGATCGTACACGAGCCAGGGTGCTGATCCCACCGAGGGGCAAAAGGCGCGATTTGGAAATATACCACACCAACGAATACGTGGATGCGCTGCTGAACGGCGAGCCCGCTTCTCATCCTCGTCTTGGCAGACATAGCTCAGCGAGAGGTGTCAACAAGAGACGCAAGCTGAATGGGCGTGAAGCGGCAGACTCTGTAGACGATCTGTGCATCGCGGCGGCAGACACGTTTGGTCTGATTGATGTGGGTAGCAGCGTCGCACATGGGCATACATGCTACGAGGACTGACCAGCTCTCTCCCGCAGGACTCTCCACCCTTTCCCGAGCTGGCCGAGTACGCTCTTGCACTAAGCAGCGCCTCTACAACTGCAGGTTACTTCCTTCGAGACTGGCTCGCAAAGCACGGCTCGAGCTCCGATGGGGGCGGGTCTGGCAAGCGCGATGCGCCAATCATCATCAATTGGGAAGGTGGGAGACACCATGCGAGGAAAGATAGAGCGAGCGGGTTCTGTTATGTGGCGGATGCTGTTTCGGCTATCCTGGCTATGCGGAAACGAGTGGTGGACATCAAGGGCGCCAAGCTGGCGACGAGGGAGGATGCCGCCGGTGCGAGCGCTTCAAGGGTCTCGCCGACGCCAACACCCACGTTGGGCTTCGGAGCGCGCCCCGAAGAGATCAAGAGAGCGTTTGCGCAAGAAAAGAACAGCACGACGCCCATGAAGCCCTCGAAGCCCAGCGTCACCGACGTCAACACTCGGCGCGCTCATTCTTCCAGCAGAAAAATTGACGCCACTGGGCCGCCTACACACGCTGATCGTATTCTCTATCTAGACCTGGATCTGCACTGGGGTGATGGCGTGGAAGAAGCATTCTGGAATACTGCAGGCGTGCTCACTCTGAGCGTGCACCACTGGGCGCCCGGCTTCTTCCCTTGCGGTGCAACAGGTGCTTCACGTGCGACGAGCGTCTCGCTGGATGGCAAGAGACACGCAAAGAGCGGCATCGAAGGAGGTGCTCCGGGTGCTCTGAGAGCGAGTACGGGACCGCGTCAGGCTCCTGTCCATGCCCTCAATCTGCCGCTCAGGGAAGGTGCCAGCGATGATACATTCAAACGAGTCTGGAAATGCATTGAGAGCGTTCGAGAAGCGTATCAGGTGCGTGTGTCGATGGAAGAGAGCAGGCGTGAGCAAGGCTGACGTGCCGTTTTGCGACCTCAGCCTCGGGCTGTAGTGGTGCAAGCGGGGGTAGATGGTCTTTCGACGGATCCGCACAAGGTCAACAACCTTTCCAGCTCTGCTTATGCATGGATGTTTCGACGCATCAAGGGGTGGAAACTGCCCATGCTGGTGCTAGGTGGCGGTGGCTATTGCCACGAAGACGCAGCAAGGTCGTGGGCGCTCATCACAGCGACGCTTCTAGGAAGACACGCGGACGGTCTCGACCAAGAGACGCGCGCTGATTCAGTAGAAGAGGTGGACGAGATTGTTCAAGGTTTGTTGGGCGACCACACCCCCGTTCCGCTGCATGATCGATGGCCCGCGTATGCTGACCGAGCCACGCTCGGTGTCCCGGCTGGTGAGTAGCGCGTCAGGGCAGTTCCGCTCGTTTGAGCAAGACGGCTGATCCATCTGTCTGGTGCCATTCCGACGCAGGAGGCGGCAGGGATGTGAACGATGAGGAATACGTGCAGAAAGTGGAGAGCGTGTTCAAGCATCATGCGGAACGCTTGCGGCACTTTGAAACGGCGTGATGATCTGACGAGACGCTCCTCGGCTGAGCTCTTTGTGACGCACGTGCGACGGTCGCCTTTAGCAATTCTGTACTCATCCCTCGCAATGCATCCTATTCGTACAGCGGTATTGACGTCTTGTGCAGAAGCACGCACTCTTCTTGCCCCCTTGATCACACCCACCTCTTCCCCTCACCCGTCACCGGCCTTCTCCTCGCATGCAACACGCCCGCATCATTCGCAAAGCCCCTCCTTTCCCGCAACACGTTGTCTGCCAATGGCGCTCCATGCAACGCTGCGATCCGACTCTCTGTGCTTTGCGCAGCCCCATCCTCCCTCGTCCTGGCTCGCAATCCCCGTTGCTCCCTCATCAATCTGATCTCTTTTCGAAGTTCGCTCGACTCTTTCGGTGGTCTCTGCAGCGCACGGACAGTGGTGAGCAGGAGGGAGGTCAGAGCGTGGATGGTCAACACTCACGTAGAGCGTCTCTGCTCTCGGCCAGA